CCTGCTGGTCAGGCCCCCAACGAAAAAACCACCGACTTCTTGGTTAGTCGGGTGAGCGGCACTGCTATCTTGGAGAAGTCCTGAATAAATCTCCGATAATACCCTGCCAATCCTAGGAAGCTCCGAATCTCAGATGGAGACCTCGGGACCTCCCACTGCATCACGGCCTCAATCTTGGCCGGATCTACCAAAATACCCTTCTGGTTGACGAGATGCCCAAGAAACTGCACCTCGCGCAACCAGAACTCACACTTGGAGAACTTGCGAAAAGTCTCTCCCTCCTCAAAGTCTCCAACACCTCCCGCAGGTGCTCCTCGTGCTGCCCTGTGTCTTGGAATATACCAAGATGTCATCTATGAACACTATCACGACCGATCCAGCATCGGTCTGCACACGCGGTTCATGAGATCCATGAACGCGGCTGGGGCATTGGTGAGCCCAAATGGCATCACCACGAACTCATAATGACCATACCGGGTCCTGAAAGCAGTCTTCTGTACATCCTCATCCCTAACCCTCATCTGATGGTAACCGGAGCGTAGTCGATCTTGGAGAACCAAGACGCTCCCTGAGCTGATCAAACAAGTCATCTATCCTCGGAAGTGGGTAACGGTTCTTCACCGTTACTTGTTCAACTCCCGATAATCAATACACATCCGATGCGACCCATCCTTCTTCCTCACAAATAAGATCGGCGCTCCCCAAGGCGAACTGCTCGGCCGAATGAAACCCTTGTCTAACAGCTCCTGAAGCTGTGTAGACAACTCCTGCATCTCAGGGGGAGCAAGTCGATACGGTGCTTTGGCTATCGGAGCCGCACCAGGAACTAGGTCGATCCTGAACTCAACCTGCCTCTCAGGAGGTATCCCCGGCAAATCCTCGGGAAACACATCCGGGTAGTCTCGAACAATAGGAACATCATCAATCGTCGTCTTGCCCTTATCCCGGGCATCCAAGACGTAAGCTACAAAACCGGCGCAACCCTGCTGAACATAGCGCCTCGCCCTTGCGGCGGAACAAAAGGTCGGTCCTCGCTGGGGCCTCTCGCCCTGAATCACTATCTCTCCCCCACTGGGAGTGCGAACCCTCACTAGCTGAAGCTCACAATCAATCACCGCCCCATTGGGGCTTAGCCAATCCATGCCCACAATAACTTTATTCCCTCGCAGGGGAATAGGAACCAGATCCACTGAAAACTGCTCATCAAATATCTGAAGGGAACACCCTCTATGTACTCTGCCGACCCTCACGGTCCTATCATCTGCTATCTCAACCTCTAATGGACAATCCAGCTCCCCTGGAGCTCTGCTAAATCTCTTGCTAAGCGCAAGCGATACAAATGATCGGGTGGCCCCCGAATCGAACAATACCAAAGCAGGGATGCCGTTCACCGAGAACGACCCTAAATAAAACATATCATCAAGTAATATTCAAACGATACTAATAATTAAAGATGAAGAAATATACATACCCGTCACCACATCAGGAGTCGCTCGCGCCTCCTCTGCTGTCATCTGAAATGCCCTGCTCTTCGCCACTGGCGCATCAGCTCGGCCCTGCCGGCCATCCGTAATCCTCAAGGTGGCAGGGGCAGGTGCAAACACCTTCCCTGCTGCAGCTAAACTGGGACACTGGGACTTTTATGTCCCCTCTGATTGCACTGAAAGCAAATCAGATCGATGCTGTAACCGTAGTGGCAGGGGCCGTACAATCCCTACTCATATGCCCAGTCCGACCGCACTTGTAGCAGCCGGAACTCCCTGCCTTGCACGCCCCCTCGTGCAATCTCCCACACTTGCCACACCGACCGTGGCTCTGCTGACCCCTGGACCTGTGATCTGAAACCTTGGGCTTTTTGCCCACACTGCCTGAACCCGAAACCGCCTCCGGTTTCCTCTTCTTCTCCATCTCGAGATCAATCTCCCTCTCTCTGGCTCTAGCAATCATGTCGTCCAGTTTACAACTGGACCGGCTCACAAACATACGAATGTCACTCCGCAACATCTCGTGATAACGGCCTTCTTCATCTCCTCATCGGCTGCATACTGTGGAACAAGAAGAGCCCTCTCCCTGAACTTGGCGGTGATCTCCGCCACTGTCTCGGTAGTCTGGTAAGGTCCTGGAACTCCCTAGCTAACTGCTGCACCTCAATGACCGGTGCAAACTCCGCCCTGAACCTGGTAGAGAAATCAGCCCAGGTCATGGCATCCAATGCTGCATCATCCCCGATGGCATGTCCGACCTCCTCCCACCAATCCGTGCCCTGTCCTTCAGAAGACAGGACGCCAATCTGACCTTGTCCCCCTCGGGACATCTGCTAGTGCGGAAAGCGTTGGCCACATCCGCCAACCACCTGGTACTCGCTATGGGGTCCCGTGCCCCATGATAGTCGGGAGCCCGCATGCCCTGAACTCCCTGAAAGTAAGTGTGCGCGACCCCACCACGGCCGCCATCTCAGTACGGAAAGTACCAATCTCTCATCCATCAGCTCCAAAATACCCTCCTTGATCGAACCGAAGATCACAGGAGTCTGCTCTAGTATAATGCGAGTAACCTCAGAAGAAAGGAACCCTCTAGTCTGCTCATCCATCTACCCGACCTCCGGGTCTGATCCCGATCCTGATCCCCCTCCGGCATCTGAACTGCCGGCTGCTGGCCTCGGACGCAAAACTACCATTCTGAAACATATCATAACAACATCAGAACACTGAAATATCTCAAGGGATCATGATACTACTACTAGCTTCCTGGTCTTGTCTTGGCCTTCCTTGATTCGAGTACGGATCCTCTGCTTTCAGTAGTACGGGCCCATACTACCTTCCACATCTATCCGTACTTTCATCAAGAACTGCCTTGACTCCACCAAGTCACTTCTATTGCTGCTATTCTCTGCTACTCTCATCCTAGACTTGCCCTAGAGAAAACTCAAGCTCAATACGACTGGTCCTCAGCTGCTGTGGGTCTCCTCGTAATGCCAGTTAGCCACCACCTAAACACCATCACATGTGATGAGGATCAGATAATCCTTCAAGTAAAAGATCTGTCCCTACAACGGTTGGACTCAAACAAGAGCTGCGCAATAGGGCCAGTTCCAGCACTCTGGGATTATTCAAACCTGATTACATTGGTGTGACGTGTTCACCTAATGGCTAACTCCCATTACTCGGAACCCCACCAAGCACGAAGCAAGCAGCATTCGGATAAGGGAAACAGACTCAAACAAAACTATTCTTATAACAAGAAACTGCACTAGCATAGGATGCTAAGCTCATACTATCAAGCATAACCTAAACAGGCTATCCTACTGCTGTCTACTCAATTCTAGCATGCAATACTCATAAAGCTATAACACATAAGCAGGCACATAAGGCATTCTCCTAGATCCTTAGTCCTACACTAGCATGCTGTTCTACTGAAACTAAAAACTGAACAAATAACTTGTATGGGTAATTTGGGAGTACTGACTTGAGCTCGGCTGACCGCATGCACACACCTCTATCTTGTTAAAAACAATTCTTTCTTTCTAAGTGTTTTAAAAATTCTTTTGTAAAACATTTTTATTTTATTAAAATCTTTTATTTCCCTTAGTTTGAGTTCAGATACACCTGGAAGTGTATCCGAATCCCTCAAACCAGGGCTCTGATACCAACTTGAAACGACCCAAAAATTTTCGTTTTTCAATATAATCAAAACCATAATATAAGTATCATAACATAAAACATACGCGATGTATCCCCAAAACATAATAAAATACTGTGCGGAAGATTGTATCATACTACATCAAATCCAAAACATTAAAAAGATATCCCCAGGATAAAAGCTGTGTTGTGGTGTGTGCGATGCTGTCACCCCGAGCTCTTCCCTTTGCTTGCGGAAGTACCTGAAACCAAAACTGAAACTGTAAGCACGAAGCTTAGTGAGCTCCCCCAAAACACCACATACCATACAATAACATATAAACACATATTGGGCCCCGCCCACTGCATCGGGCCGAAACCCGGAAACTGCATCGGACCGAAGTCCGGAACTGACTGGGACCTTGTCCCCTGCATCGGACCAAAGTCCGGAACTAACTGCATCGGACCGAAGTCCGGAATTGACTGGGACCTTGTCCCCTGCATCGGACCGAAGTCCGGAACTAACTGAACATAGCATAGCATATCAACTAGCATGAACAAATATATTGCATACTGCATCGGGCCGTAGCCCGGAACACATAACATATAACACATAACACATATATCCTGTCTGAGCCACGAAGGCATCAAACATGCCAACTACTACATCGGACCGAAGTCCGAAAACTACTGCTAACTGGACGGGCCGGCATTGTGGCCTTAGACCCGTCCCTACTGGAAGGAAACTCACCTCGTAAACTGGCTGATGAGTGTGTGGCTCGGGGAGCTAACGGCTGCTGCTCCTGAATCTCCTCGGCTCAATTAACTCTGATTTGCCCTTGGATCTTTGCACTACAACACTTCTCCTTGCTTCTTTCTTCTTCTCCTTCTTCACACCTTCACAAAATGGCACCAAAACACATATAAGCTCTCAAGGGAGGATTAGGGTTCTATCACTGTGTTCTCAGGCTGAGGGAAGCGAGGATGGGGGCTATAAGGTGGTTTAAATAGTGGGCAACCCGGGGATTTAGGGTTTCACCCAGACGGATGGACTCGTCGAGTCCATCATATGGACTCGCCGAGTCCCCGGCTCACGCGTGCCCGCAGACGCGACCCTACTCGGCAAGTCAGGCTATGAACTCGCCGAGTCCCTCTTGTAAAATTCACTATAATTACCAATAAATCAACATACCGGGAACGGGTCGTTACACAAAATGATATGTGATAAAATGAATAAGAGTGTGAAAAAAAAAATAAAAAAAAAAAAAAAAAAAAATCTTGGTTTATTAGAGAAGATTAAAAATTTGATGGATAAACCAAATCAAGTTACAAAATATATGCTTTTTTTCATAATTAGCCATAAAAAGTAAAAACTAAATACCCATGCGATGTCTGTCTATATCACACCATCCACGAACAGCCTGCGGCTACAGCAGATTTCTGTCGATCTTCTATATCAGGTAAATCCTCCGATTTGTTTTGCGTCAGCTTGTCTTTCTGATGTGTTTTCTGCCTCCACGTGCACAATTTTAGGCATAAGCTACCGAAAGCAAACTCGAAATTACAATTGGAATCCGGGCGGGGAAGATATCAGGTGTGTTTCCGGGTTTTCTGTTACTGATCCCATGAACTTTTTTGCTATTTTTTGTTCCACTGTTTTTTTTATCAAATCGCATCGCTAATCTGGTTCCCCTCGTTCTATTTTTCCGGTTGACTGAATTAAACTGGTTTTGCCTTTCTTTTTGGGTTGTGTTGATTAAGAGTTTTTGTTAAATGCTTGTGGAAGGATATGTAAATCTGTTGACAGCAACCAATAAATTTTGCTTTAAATCCAAGTTGAAAATCATTGTTGGTTTGCTTTTGGTGATTTGAATCTATTGTAAACAAGGAATTGCAAACTTTTTTTTTTTTATTTTTAAAAAAGGTAACTATGTATACATCGTATTACGTACAATATTACTTGGGGACTGGAATTATAAGATACGTTGGTATGAATGATTCAGGTAATGGAGGAAAGGATAATAAGCAGTCCTACTCCTGAACCAAAAGTACTAGAAGATGTTACGGAGTTGATGCAGAATATACAATCACGGTTGCCTGTAAAAGCAGCAGTCCGGACGAGCGTGCTCTCCAAGTCATGGCTACATGCTTGGTCTACCATTCCTACCCTCAAATTTTATCTTCCCAAAAATCAAAAAACAAAGCAGTTGAAGTTAGTCTACTTCGAAAACACCCTAATAAGATATCTCCGTGACAACATTCCGATCGAAAGGTTTGACCTTAAAATCCGAGATCATAGCCAGCAACATGCTTCTCTTGTTGAAAACTGGATCCGTTGTGTAGCATCTAGAACTTGTCTTAAAGAGCTTTCACTCACAATCAATTTTTACTCGTTTAATTTGCCAGAAGAGATACTCTCCCGTGAAAACCTAACAAAGATAAGTCTTTCAGGTTAATGGAAACCTTGTCTAATTTTCCAAGGTCCTCCAATCATCAAATGTGTGTTCCTCCGGGAACTAAAATTGTCGAGTGTCCGCATACGTCAAGAACTACTTGACAACATATTGTCGTCTTGTCGGTTGCTTGTGAAGATAGAGCTAAAACGTTCTTCCCAGGACCTCAAAACCATCAAGGTTAAAAGCCTTCCTTGTCTTAACGAATTAGAAATAGTTACAGAAGGTAAAGGAGTTCCTAGTGTGGAGATCAGTAATGTCCCAAATATTCGCTTCTTTAGCTGCAATCTAATTGACTTACGGATGCATCGTGCTCTATTCAACCAAGCGCATTCAATATCATTAGGAAGCAGCGTGACAGAATTATGGTTAGGTGGTCCGGGTTTGGTGAGAGACGATGCATCTTTGGACATTATCAAATCAGGATTCCCTTTTCTCGAGAGTTTGACACTTAGTATGAGATGCTGGACGTTGCAAAGCTTCCATTTCACATGTGCTTCGATCAAGAGATTTTCCTTGCAGAATTTCGGAGACAGGCTTATCAATATACAGGTTAATGCTCCGAAATTACTTTCTTTCCGCCTCCATGGCTACACAATGCCTAGTCTCTCATTTCCAGTCTCTAACACTCTCAAGGACATCACATTTGATCTATGCTTATCAAGGAATACATGTGCTTCTTTTTTTCTTAAGATGAGGGAAGGACTTGAGTTATCCTTATCAAGCAAGTATCACGTTTATATAAAATCCCATATCCCGTTTTTACCATTTGACATGGACGTTCTTGATGATTTGAAAGCAAGTCTCCATTTTCCTCCTGCTACGAATGTGGAAACTCTGATGTTTGTAACGTCTTTCGATGAATGCCTGTGGGAGGAGAACTCCCCATTTCTTGATGCTTTCTTTGAGATTTGCCATCCCAAGCTTGTAAGTGCTAAACTGCTGCTGAGGGAGGTCTTGGAGAGGAATACGACTACAACAATGGCCAATTGGCGGCATTACCTGAAGAATTTCCAAATAAGATCAAGACATTCCTACGCCGTCTTCAAACTTGAATGGTCTAACTCTTGAGGGCTCGATTATTTATTATACTTTTCGTTACTAATGTTTTTAGTTAAACATACTAGCTAGATGCAATGCATCGTGATATTATTTAGTTTCCAGGGAAATATGCTTTGGTCCACTTTAAATATTGTACGTTCTCAGTTAATCTATATGATATATATGGAGAGAGAAACCGTAATTGGTGATTTAAAATTTTACATGACCACTATCAAGTATCAATTTTCTAGTTCGGTTGTACTTATTATGTTATGACTTGTATTACTTAATACTTATAAGTTTTATAAGTTTTGATCCATGTGCATATATTGTTTGTAAGTTGGATAACTTAACTTCGGATCCAAATGTATTATGGTACATATAATTATTAATGCAATGTTTACTTTGCTGTATAAATACACACCTAATCATTCGATATATGCAAAGGCAAATCTATGGAATGTTGTGAATGGTGCTAAAATAAACAATTCATTGAAGACGGCCTGCTTTTTTTCCAATCAAGTGAGGATTAAAATTTTAAAATGTGACAAATGTCAAAAAATATTTTACAATGCACGTCTTTTTATCTTTTTATCTATTTTTTAAAAAAAAAAATTATCATAAGCTCTTTTTTAAAATTTCTTATTTTTGGCAAATTGGAAATCCACTATGAGATATTTTGTTTTGTTGTTTAACTAGATGTGAGCCCATTTATTACATAGGTGTATTTAAAATAATTAAATATATATAAACATTTTAGAAATTTGAATTTATAAAAAAAATGAGAAAAATATTGAATTACTAAAATTAAAGTGTTTTTTTTCTCTTTTAAATTTAAACAAATCATTTAGATAAAATAATCAAAGCAAATTAATCACATTTTATTTTAAAATTTTGAAATTATAAGGAAAGTCTATTAATGAAATTGATATGCATTTATTATAAAATTTAAATACCATATGAAATTTAATAAAATAGGAAAACTACAAAATTACATATGGAAAAAAAATTAATTCAAAATAACCACAAAATAACATGTGTCAAAATGAATGAGAGCGTGACAAGTGGCAAAAAAAACCTTCATTTATTACAGAAGATTTTGAAATTATAAGGAAAGTCTATTAATGAAATTGATATGCATTTATTATAAAATTTAAATACCATATGAAATTTAATAAAATAGGAAAACCACAAAATTACATATGGAAAAAAAAATTAATTCAAAATAACCACAAAATAACATGTGGCAAAATTAATGAGAGCGTGACAAGTGGCAAAAAAACATTCATTTATTAGAGAAGATAATTATGGTTTATGGCGACACATTGGGCAAGGCTTAATGCTTGAAAAAAACCTTTTGGGCAGTCGGAGTTACCAGGAGAAGTAATGCTAGAAAAAGTATACGGTTGGACCATAACAACTAGATCAGGAGAAAGCAAAAATAGTATGAGACTATGATAGGACCATAACAATAGTAGGAGACTGTGGTGGAACCATAACAATTGTAGGAGGCTATGGTAGGTCCATAACAATACATGAGGAGGTGTGAATGGTGGTAGGGTATGTAGGTAAAGTTGTATCATCCTTTGTAATTGCATGGGTGGCAGGATGTGCTTGATAGTTAGCAAGTGTCTTGAGCCAACGCTACTTGTGCAGGTGGGGTTCTAGGGACAGCGCCCCAGGAAGCGGTGTCCAAGGGGTAAAGCCCATGGTTGCGATCAAAATTTTAGAATGTTGACCCATTTTTTACTTTTTCTAGACCTGTAACACCCATTTCAACTATGTACTGATACATTATATTTTAAGTCTTCATTTGGTGTAATGCCCCAAAATTTAAGACCAAAAGTTTTGTTTTTATGTTAATAATAAATTCAACCATCAAACATCTTTATAAACCATAAAGGAAAAACATAGTATGTCAATCAAGGATCCTAAAAACATCAGAGTCAAGAAAGGCGGAAATCATGGTGTGGATGTGTGTGTGACTGTGTTCCATGCGATCACCCCGAGCTCTTCCCCTTCGATCCGAAAGTACCTAGAACATACACTAAAAACCATAAGCACGAATCGTAGTGAGTTCCCCAAAATACCGTATATCATACATATCTGCCAGCTCAAGGTTGTCTCAGGTCTATTTCACCACTGGGTCTATTTCATACCTAATAACCCAGGCCTAATCTAAAGGCACTAAAAGCCCAATATGGTCCAAGTCCTTAAATGACACCTATAGCCCATTATGATCCTGAATCCAAGAAGCCCTAAAGCCTAACAATGGTCGAAATTCAAAAAGACTAGTAGCCTAACATGGCCCAAAAACCTAATAGTCCCAAAAGTGCCCAAGTCACAAAAGTCAACTTAAGTCCACAACTGTTGAGTATTGTTGGATTAGGTGTCTAAGCCTATAACTACAAATGGTATGTGCTAGAATTAACAGTAACACAATCCTTTCGGGCTGCCTTCACACTAGCAACTAGATAGGATGAGTATTGGAGAGAGAGGCTGAATTTATTATTTGGAATAATTAAATGGTATATAAAAACTCACTTTTTTGATGCTCTTCCTTTATAGCCTCAACCTGAGCCTCTCGGATCTTCTCTAAAAGTGGAGTAATCACCGTCATCCTCAAACACATATCCCGGATCATAGCCGCAACCGCCTTGCGGATGAGAGCATCGGCGACCATGTTGGCCTTCCCCGAGTGATAAGGAATCTCGGAATCATACTTCTTCACCACATCCAATTATCTACGTTGCCTCATGATCAGATTCAGCTGATCCATCAAGTACTTCAGGCTCTTGTGATCCATGTAGATAGTACAAAGAACCCTATAGAGGTAATGTCGCCAAATCTTAAGGGCAAACACCACAGCCCCAACTCCAAATCGTGATTCGGATAAGTCGACTAATGAGGCTTCAGTTGCCTCGAAGCATAAAAAACAACACGACCCCGCTGCATCAAAACTATAATCAAACCCATGTTCTAAATGTCACAATAAATCACAAAATCCTCAATACCCTCAGCTAGGATCGGAATCGGAGCCTCGCATAATCGTTGGCTCAAAGTCTCAATTGTTGCCTGCTGCTCTTTCCCCCAATGAAACATAACAGTCTTCTTCGTAAATCGATTTAGAGGAACCGCTATTTTGGAGAAATCCTGAATGAATCTCTGATAATAACCCGCTATACCAAGGAAACTCTGAATCTCAGATGGAGACCTCGAAACTTCCCACATCATCACCACCTCGACCTTGGCCGGATCGACCAGAATACGAATCTGGTTAGCAAAGTGTCCAAGAAAATGCACCTTGCGCAACCAAAACTCATGCTTGAAGAACTTTGCAAGTAATCTCCCCCTCCTTAGAGTTTCCAATACCTCCCTCAGATGCTCCTCATACTTTTCCTGAGTATTAGAATAGATTAGGGTGTCATTAAGAAATATAATCACAGAATTATCCAACATAGGTCTTCATATGTGATTTATGAGATCCATGAATGCGGCGGGGGCATTGGTGAGCCTGAAGGCCATCACCATGAACTCGTAACTACCATAACAAGTTTGGAAGGCCATCTTTTACATATCTTGTTCTATAACACTCACATGATGATAACATGAACATAGATAATTCTTTAAAAACCAAGATACACCTTGAAGTTGGTCACATAAGTCGTCAAACCTCGAGAGTGGAAAAACGGTTCTTCACCGTTAGCTTATTCAACTCGCAATAGTCAATACACATCTGATTCTACCCATCCTTATTCTTCACAAACATGATCGGTACTCACCATGTCGAACTACTCGGCCGAATAAATTCCTTGTCTAACAGCTCCTCAAGCTGACTAGATAACTCATGCATCTCTAGAGGTGCTAACCAATAAGGTGCCTTGGCTATTAGAGTCGCACTAGGAACCAAGTAATTCTGAAACTCTAGTTGCCTCTCTTTAAGCGCTCTAGGTAAGTCATCCGGGAACGCATCTGGATATTGACGTATGACCGGTACATCAACCACTATCGCCTTACCCTTCTTCGGGTATCCATAACATAGGAAATAAATCCATAACAACCTTGCTAAAGATAGCACCTGTCGCTAGTTGTTGAACATAAAATTGACCTATGCTTACCACTCTCTACCTGAATGAGCAACTCTCCCCCACATAGGATCTGGATATGCACCAACTGCTGCTCACAATCTATCACTACCCCATTGGGGCTTAACCAATCCATCGCCACAGTAACGTTGCTCTCACACAGGGGAATAAGAAGTAAATTAATTGGATACCATTCGCTGAAGAACTCCAAGACACAATCCCAATGAACCCTCAATAATCATACATGACTATCATCAACAATCTCAACCTCTAATTGGAAATCCAGCTCCCTTGGAGCATCAACAAACCACTTGTTGAGTGCAAGTGATACAAAGGATCGGGTAGCCTCCGAATCAAACAATACTAAGGCCAAGATACTATTCACAAAGAATGATCCTAAAACAATACACATAGATATAAGCTAAAAAATCAGCATAAATAAAGATATAAAGACAACATATATACCCATGACCACATCAGATGTTGCACGAGCCTCCTCGGTTGTCAATTGAAAAGCCCTAATCCTCTATCGTTGATCCTCAAAGTCCTTAGAGCGGGAGCAGGAACTAGTTCTGGCATTGATAGACTCGGACAACCGTCCTTTTTATTTCCCCTCTGATTACAATGGAAGAAAATTAGACTTGATCACTCGATAGTGGTTATGCAATCCCAACTAAAAGGCCTAGTCTTGTCGCACTTATAGTATCCTGAACCACCAGCACACCTGCAAGATCCGTCTTGTGTCTTTCCGCACTTGCCACAGTGCCTCGGCCCTACTGGCCTCTTGACCTCTAATGAAAAACCATGGCCCTCTTGCTCGAACTCTCTGAGCTATAAACCTGATCTAGATTCCTTTTCCTCTCCTTCTCTAAATCATTCACCCTCTCACTGGCTTGCACTATCATATCCTTCAGTGTCTTGCAACATCTTTTGTAGAACCAATAG